AGTGAAATCCCTAGGAAGACTCAGTTCAGAGACAGCTCCTACCTGGTAAAGAGCAGGATTGGTTTTTTTATTTTTTATTTCATAAAATCTCCCTGGGAACTTTGGTAAGGGGAGGCATGGAGAAACGCTCCCTTTCTCTTTTGAAAAGAGAAATTAGTAGTGGCTCACCACAGCTGGGCCTGCTCACCACACTATTTCTCTGTCTTCATCCCAAAAGGAGTTCATATCTCATCAGCTTCACGCCTCCCCAGTCCCACTCTGCTCAGCGAGGGGAAAAGAAAGCACAAGATAGGAGGCTGCCGCTCCAAGGCAAAGGCTGTGGGAAGCACTGACAGAGCTCGACGGGCAGAGAGGGGAGAAAAAGTTCCCAAGGGCAGCCCAGGCTATGGGAGGCAGAGATATCCATCACCTTCCACTGCAAAGCCAAGGGCACCAGAGAAGTCCAGACAAGAAAAGCTGTCCTAGCGTTCCCTGCCTGCCACCTTCTGTTCAGACACCAACTTCTGGTGGCTTCCCTCTTCCCTGCAGTCACTCCCACACACCAGATGAACACCCAGCAGAGACATCTTGGATGGGGAAGCCAGCACACAAGAGCTGCCTCCTTGCTTTGAAGAAATGTTTGGGCAACTCTTTTCCCACCACCCTGCAGGAAGCCAGAGCAGAAGGCAGCCCTACTCGAACACAGTCCTGTCGGGGCACTCCTCTCCCCTCCCTACCCCAAAGCCTCCAGCATTTGCTGGCCTCAAGAAGAGGGTATGCCTCACTCTGCAACACCTTCAGAGCACAAAAGGTAGTGCTCTAATCTGCCTCTGAAGATCCGACTACTGTCGGAGGCGAGATGCCAGACTCCATGCAGATGGGACTCTGTTCTCTGTCCTGATGTGGTGAATCCTATACGGAAAAATGCCACTCCCCACCTGATGCTGGAAGAAGCTTAGAGACCCTAAGGAGGGGAGGCGTATCTGCTTCCCGGGAGATAAGCCCGCTGTGTTTAATCCTGTTTGGATATGGGGGAGGGAAAAGAGAAGAGACAGTGGCTTGGCAGGAAAGGTACATGCCAACCCCAAATCTTAGCAGCTTGCTGTGCATGCAAAGAAAGTCAACTGTTTCCATGTTGTTGGCCTGATCCATGTTCTGGCAGAACACAACCGGACATTTCTGAGGGCCGCTCGGCCAGAAAACCACTTGGAGACTCCACCTTAGCTCACAGGAGAGGTATGGGAGGGAAGGGAACTCACTCCAATACTTGGGAGGCAAGGACGGGAAAGGTTTGTAGACAGGGTTCCTCCAACATGCAACTTGCCTTTTCAGCTCAGAGATCGCTGCTTAGCCCCAGAATGCCTTTCCCTCCAGTTCAAGCAAGCCAAACACCATCCCAGACACACATGCTTCAATACTACAAAATACTCTTTTCTCTAAGGACCATCTAATACCGCTACAGTTTGTGCAATCACTGCATTTATTATTCATTTTTAAACTCTCTCTCTCTCGCTTTCTCCCTGTAGAAATTTTTTTTAAACTTTTCTTTTTTTATGCAAAACTAATCATTTCACTTTTTCCACTCCATCATAAAATCTCCTCTAAAAACACGACAACAAGAGAACAAACATGGCACAGACACAGAGAATATTTCCCTGTTTTTTTTTTTTCCTAGAGATTACGGGGAAAGGAAGGGGATACTTTCAAATAAACTCCTCCCTCAATCCCACGCCCTTTTTAAAGGGTATGGATGGATCTTCTTTCCCACCTCCATTAAGGAGCAAGGGCAAAAATTCAGAAGGAGGAACATAACCCACGTGAATACGAAGGTAGGTTTGTCAGCCTCAAGTGGCTCATCCACCTGAGGGAACTTGAGGCTGCTGCTGCATTCAAGTTAGCAAACCTCTAACTCAAAACAGCACCAGGATCCTAATTTCAGATCCAGAGGTTCAGGGTTTGGTTCCCACCGGGTGACCCACCCAGGAAGAGATTTGTCACACAAGCAGTTGAGCTGTGTCTGCAAGCCGGATCATACTCCTTTCTTCCTGCACAAAGAGGATCTACTGCATGAGGTCCTCTGCTACAGCAAGTCCCCTCATCTCCTCACCACAGGAAGAAGGTCCTCATGGAGTATCCCTACAATGACCCCCTGTTTTGCTCTTCACAGACAGTCCCCTTGCTTGTCACTCTGGAGAAAGGCAAAAACCCTTTGATTAAACAATTCCTGTCCCCTGCCCCCAAAGAACACCATACAAGAGACACTGGGGAAAAGAATTCTGCCAAGCAAACACACATCTTGGCCAAAACACATCGAGAGTTTCCTATTAAAGTTCCCTTTTATCTCCCACTTAAACTCTTCTATTTTTTCCAGAATCTCAATACCACAAAACAAAACACATCACCACATACACACCAAACAGTAACTTAACAACCTAAAGTGACTGGCCAGTTTGCATCCACCCCACAAATAAGCTCCTCTTATCTCACAGCCGCAGAATAGTGAGGTGGGGGGGAAAAAGAGAAGAATCTCCTCGCTATTTCCCTAAGAGCTTTACCCTATGCCTACAAACTGCTCATCTTTGAAGCTGCAGTCAAATGGATAGGCTATGCTAAAATAAGGGATCTCTGGGTGTGCCAGGCACAGGAAAGATGCAAAAAAAAAAAAAGGACAAAAAATACAGGCAGGTATTAATACAGACACACACACAAGTCCAACAAGTTATAGGAAGTCTCAGCGTGGTGAATGGGTCAGGGAAGTCTCTTTCTCCCTGCCCCTAGCTTCAGCTGTGAATGCAACTGCATCCCCAAAGAGTCCACTAAGCTCTTTAACCAAGGAAAGAAAAATAAAGAGGTGTGCAAAGGGTGGTGCTAACAGCACCTGGAATTCCCCTCAGACTGTCTGCGCAGGCACCAAGCTGTAACCGGTGTGAATTCACCATGCCTCGCAGCTTTGAATTCCACCCACTGCGAGGCAAGGCTTGTGGACAAGGCAGCAGAGATTTTTATCACACCAACCCAGGTGCTGGAGGCAGGGCAAAGACAAGCTTCTGGGCACAGAAGCCCTAATTAAGGTCAGAAGCTGGTCTATTCCTCTGCCACCCTAATGATGCCCCTTGGGCAGACAAATATTGCCTCCCTCCCACAAACTGCCTCCCTTCTACTCTCAGACAACCACAAAATCACTACTCCACACAAAAGTACTCCTTGGAGCCAGCAGCTCCTGAGCACCCTCGTGTGGAAGCACCAGAGGGGCCAATTCCACTCATGTTCACCCACCCAAGGCAGGGTTGCAAGTAGATGAGCCCTGGCGCAGGGAATTTTTTTCCACCCTTTTCACCTCTGCAGCACGTTATGTAGAAGTGACACCCTTCTGCCCCATCCCAAATATGGGGGACAGAACTGAGAGGGTGAGGCTCTCCCAATGATTGATCAGCACCTCTTTTCCTTGCCCCTACGGGCTGAGCCCTATGCAAGTAGGGGGAGAAGGGAGAGCAAAGCAACAGCATCTCACTGTGAAGCTTAGGACCCATACAGAAACGGAGCAAGCCAGAAATGGCAGGAGAAAAAGAGAGCTTATTTTGTATGTGAAGGGTGATAAGGGAAAGGGGGATCAGTGGGTAAAGAACGGCAAGCCGAGGCCTTGCTCGCTCCTACTTGCTAGGGGTGAAGAGAAGGAATTTATAGATCAGCTCACAGGAGCTCTAGGGGAAGAGATCCACCACACACACATATGTTGTGAGAGAGACAGTTATTTCTTATTAGCACCTTTGGTTGACAGTTGTAAGGGCCGTTTCAGATGCTGAAAAGACAGAGGGGAACCCTCTTCCAGACCATCCACCACAGGGAAGGGAGAGCAGGAGATGAAAGGAAGCAGGAGGAACAAACGACCAGCCTTAGCATCCATCCATCCATCCCTCCCTCCTAAGGAGCAGGGGATGCAAAAAGGATCAGGGGAAGGTTACACACAGAGCGGGAAACCAGCCTCACCCGGCTGGGGCAGCGTCACACTGTCGGAGTATCTTCCCCCAAACTGAAGGATGGATGCACGGCCCACTCCCACTTCCACCACAGAAAGGCTGGGGAAGGGCGTTTTATGCCCTCTCCCCCGAGCAAGTGCAAGTGATGAACACCAAGAGGAAGATCTGGGCCAGAAGCAGACTGCCCTTTTCTTCCCTTCCCTGTGCAGAGCTAAGCAAGTTGGAAGATGCCGGAGAAGAGGAGGGACCAGGGCACCTGAAAGCACCCATACAACTGCCAAGGTAGCACCAATAGTCAAGGGAAAGGGGAAGCCAATATGGGGTGTATGCTGCGTGGGGCATGCCCCACCACCCCAGCTTTGTCTCAAGCACCTTCCAGGCATGCTGCTTCACCTGCCCCTCTCCCCCTTGCTCTGAGGGCACCTGGATCAGCAACTGCCATGAGGACAGCAGAGGATAGGGCAGATCCAGGCCGCAGGCCAAGAAGGGGAAGGATGGCAGGATGGGAGTCATGGCAAGGGGGAAAACATAGGAATGGAAAAGACTGCATGCACATTTGTTGGAAAAGGCTTGGGGGGAGTGGGCGAGGGCTCCAATCCTCTTACATCCTCCCCTCAAGGGTCTGGAGCTGCTCTTCAGCTTTTGTCAAAGATGGAAGGGGAAGGAGAGGGAAGAACATCTTCCCCACCACCCCCACAGGCACACAGACACACACTCACCCATCTCTCATCCCCAAAGGCTCCACTGCCCGTTGGACAACACCACATTCAAGCACAAACAACCACTCCCCAGCCCCACCACGACCCTCCCTGCCTCCTCCCAGTGGCAGCAACACCCAGGAATGGGTGCCCCCACTCCCCTCTCACTGACACGCTCCAGCCTCCAGTCAAGAGGGAGTGGGCAGGGGGAAAGGAGGAGGGAGGGTGGCAGTGAGGGCAGAAGGACAACCAAGGGGAGAAGGAGAGAACTAAGGACAGCCATTCGCACCACGACTTCTCACAGGTAGAGCTCCCCCACACCACTGGAGTGGGGGGACCTGGCTGCTCACTTGCTGCCTCCTCCGCCACTGCCTGCCGCCACCTTCTCAAAATCTTCTGCGTTGCAGAACTCCTTGATGGTGACAGTGAGGAGGTTGCTGGTGACATCTGTGACCACCACATTAGAGCAAGGGGACATCTCGGGACGCCAGTCGCCAGCCTCCTGTTCCGGGTCAGAAGAGGAAAGGGACAAGGAAGGCGTCTGCCCCCCGCTGCACCCTCCTGGGGGAGAACGCTTGCTGGTGGCAGCTGACTCTGGCGGGATCGAGAGGTCGAGGACCTCCGACTCACGCCAGTCAGGGATGGCTGGGCTGAGGGTCTCAGGGAGCAGCTTTGGAGGGGAATCATCTGGGTCGGAGGAGGAGTGGGGGGCAGGCGACGGGCAGCCAGAAGAGCTGGAGCTGGGGGCATCATAGGGGGTAGAGCCCATAATGAGCCCACAGGAGGCTGCCTGGGAGCCTTCGGCCTCCCCTTTGCCCTCCAGAGAGGGGGCAGGCGCAGCGGACGGCTTATTGTAGAGCGAAAAGGAGCCAAACTTCATGTGGCGGATCTGGGTGCGAAGGACGCTTTCACTGAACTTTTTGCTCTTGCCGATGACACGGTTTCGGGATGGGATCTTGGGCCGAGCCAGGCCCCCAGCCCCATTGGTTGGCTTTCCACCTTTGTCAATGACTTTGAGGTTGAGGATAATGCGACTGCGCTTGGGCTCACGGGGTTTCACCTTACGGTTGATGATGCGGACGGTCTCCGAGAAGGGCGAGACAGGCGGACGGATGCCAGCCCCACCACCCATGCTCCCGCTGTTCTGGGGATCTGGACGGGGCAGTGGGCGGCGGGACATGCGGTGGCATCGCCGGATGTCTTTCTTGAGCCGGTGCACAGCGGCACTGGAGTGGAGCTTGGGAGAGGAGGTGCTGGAACCAGGCTTGACAGAAAAGTGTACATCCCCAATGTGGAGGGCCTCCGCTTGGGCCCGAGCCTGCGGTGGTGGGGAGAGAGAAAAAAAAACTAGGGTCAGAGAGGCAGCCTAGGTGCAGCCAAATCTCAAAACATGCATTGCTCACCTCAGGACAAGAATGCTGTGTCACGTTTATACCCACGTTAATGACAAGCACACATACACACCTGTGGAATATTAAGAGCCACAGCACAACCCCCATACAAGCATGGGGCACTTCTACATCCTTTTTGAGCAGCTAGTTATTCCCTAGGCAGTGCCCTTCTTGACACATGCCTCCCCTTGGAGGAAACTGCCACCCTCCAGCCCTGTTTCAGGGTTACAGTTAATGGTTTTCAAGGCCCCCTCTCAGTCATCACCAGCAAACATGCATAACTCTCCAGTGTCAGCCAAATAACCAAGCATCCTCCTGGGCACTGGGGCTGTTAGTGTTGAGTTAGTATCCAAAATTACACACTAGTCCCAAGACAGGGAGCTGTATCTGGCCCTCTACGAAATGAGGATGAGACAAGGTGGAGAGGAAGAATAAAGCATGCAGTTTGCTCTTCCCCTCCCACAACCATACTCATCCACTCTAGAAAGCATGGTAGAAGGGGGTCTTGAGGAACACAGATGGAGGTGGGCGAGGGTGGTCTGACAGAACTGTCTTAGCTAAACACAAGAAATGCAGAGATACGAAATTTAACTTTAACAGAAGAACACAAGCAAATTGTTTATCCTTACTCTGCTGTGGGAGCAGAGTCCAGTGTTTAAAGCCAGAGACTAGGCCCGTTGGAATTTAAGTCAAGTTTAACCGCATCCCCAAAGAAGAGATTGCCTTGTCCTTTTGAACACTACACTTGTTTGAAACCTACTAATGAAACAAAGCAGGAACAGTGCGGGTTCAACTGCTTGTGCCAGCCCTCCCCGAAATCCAGGGCAGGGGAACAAGACTTTTAAGCTCTTCTGGAGCTTGGAGATAGTGCCAAAACCTGCCCTGGTTCACACAACAGGGACAGGAACATTTTCTGGCAACAGGAAAAAACAGTTTCATTTGTAAGCTGAAGCAGTATGACCTGAAGATCCTGTGGGCATGGAAACCCAGAGTGTATTTACATCATGCCTTGTCAGAGCACAGTTGTTTGTAGAGCTCAGCCTCCCACCTGCACCCCACTCCTTGCCCAAAAAAACCCCCTTCCTTATTCCCTCTCAGCAGTGGTCACAGGCAGAAGTCACCCCAGCCTGGAGGGGACAGGAGAGTCCCCCTCCAATTGCCCATCTAGTGAGCAGCTTCCCCCATCTCGTGGGCACAACAAGAACTGCAGTGCTAGAAGACGACAGCTGCTTTTCCTCCCCAATGTCTCCATCCCCTTGCCCCCTAAGCACACACCAAGATCGGGATGGCTTCTCGCCAGCTAAGCGCTTAAGCACTCCAACACCATCTCCTTTGTCACCCTGCAGGCCATGCCTCCTACCAGAGAAACGTCTGGGGGAAAAAAAAAGAATGTGCGTCTAAAGGCAGGGATCTAACAGATCTAAGCGAGAGGCCCAGGCCAGCTCTTGCACAATAAGCTCAAGGCCCTGGCCCTACATCCCCAGAACTCTGCTGTCACCCAGCACCCCTCTTCTGCCACTGAGATCCTCATGGGAACTGCAGATGATCCTGAACGAGCAGAGAACAGAGACGTGAAGACATTTTGTTCCTCTCTGGCTAATGCTGGATCATGCCCGGCAGTACTCCTTGTATCCTGGCTTTAAAAGGACTTGTAAAGATGAAGCCTCCTTCCCCGGCTGTATGTGAAAACACAGCTGAACCAGGGACTCTAGACTTTGTATTAGCTGACTGACAAAGAAACAGGGATGAGTAACATGACTGCCAAGGCAGGCACAGACACTCTCCACATTAACCCTGGGCTGTAAAGCACTGTTTCACCTAGTTAGAGGGAAGCATCCCCAGCACAGACAAACCCCAAACATCCTGCTGTAGCAGGAAGCATCCCAGTGTCCAGCTAGTTTCTCTTTGCTCAGTCTCACACATTACTCCATGCCCCAAACTGTTCAGAATATGCAACATTGGACACAATTCTGTCCCAGGCATCCTACAGGCTGGAGCACAGCAAGCAGCACCAGATGAACTCCCTGTACCACGCATCAACTCTCCCCCTCCCATCCCGATGATTCACAACTTAGAAACACACCCCCCGGACCCTGTCAGGGGCTCACAGGCACAGACAGATGCACATCTAGGGCTGTGCTTGCTCCCTCTTCACAGGTCCCTCTGAAGCATATGGCAGACACCAGGACAAGCTACAGTTTGCTTTCTGACATTACATACCAGCACAGCCTGGATTAACAATTTTATTCTTTCCCCCCCTCCCCTTGCCCATCACAGCCAACCCTTCAGCACTGCTGCTCTTGTGCTCTGGGCTTCTTGCCAATTTACCACTGCTCAGCAGAGAGCAAAGTGCAACAAAACGTCCTGTTCCAAAACGCAGTACAGGGAAGCCAGGCAGAGGGTACAAAACAGATGCACCAGTAAAAATCCTTGATCCACAGCTTCAGCAGATAGACACAGGCATCCTTCAGGGCCTCTCTTACTGCCAGTATGTCTTCTAAATTAATTCCCTACCCTGTAATCACGCCTTGTAGTGAGGAGTTCTGCCCCCTCTGCTCAGAGTCAAATCTAATTGCTGCCTGCCCACAGCACTGCCTTCTATTACCCACATGAAAAAGAAGCCGGCCTCCCCCCACAGCTCCCCTGAGCCACAGTTGCCTTACACACACCAGAATTCCTCAGCAAAGCTTCCTGTCAACCCCGTTAAATGAAAAGTGATAATGCTGGGATGGTCACTGCCTGGCCACTTGCATAGTGCTGCTGTCAACCTGTGCACATTAATCAGCTCCTATTCTGTTTTGACAGAGAGAGACTGGTCTTGGTTTTGTGCTTACATAGTGGCTAGCACAGAGCCCTGGTCCATAGCTAGGACTCTTCCAGTGTGCCAGAACCACAAGGTCTCCTTTACTTGCCGTGTCTGCATTTCCAATTACTTCTGGGGCACTTGCTCAAGGCTGAAGCTGTTCCTAACTCGTATTTCAGCTCTCTGCATTTATTAAATTTCATTTTCAGTAGTCTCCAGGTAAACTACATGCACCATCAACCTCTCTGGGCCAAATTAAGAGAGAGGGTAAGCTGGGACCCAACAGTGTCATCTCCGCCCCCTCCCCAGATGCTACACTGGCTGTCCCCAGTAACCAGCTTCAACACAAGTTCCAAACAGCAATATGCAAATATTCAGCTTACTTTGAGTTTGTTTTCCCAGGTAAGGTTTCAAGAAAAATAGTATCAGATGCTTTATCTGAGAACAGCCCCCAGAGCCCTCTCACTTGTGAAGCTCAGTATTCCTACCACAGGATCAGGTTTATTCAGGCATCAACTATATGAACTCAAGCCTCTTCCCTGCAGAGGACAGCACATTTTCTGAGCTCTCCCTCTCCTGCTTCCAACTTTACATTAAGTAACTTGCTACCTCTGGTTTGGAGAAGGCTCAGCGTTCAGTTTTATCTATTGGAAATGCACTTCCCCCTGCTACAGATCCATTACTCAATCACACTCATGAAGTGTATGAGCATGAGGTCTTTGAAAAACAAACCTATTTAAATGCTTTCAGCTGTGTCACCACAGCTTGCTACTTAACTCAGAAGTTTTCCAAACAGAAACTATGTCTCTGGGTTTTGCTGTTTTCACCTGCAAGATCTGCTCACTGCTGAAGAGGTACTCAGCATGTATACGAAGTAATTCACTCTCTCCTTACAGCTCAGCCTACATCAGGATGCAGCTTCTGGAGGCTTACTGCAGTGCTCCATCATGAGAGCAAGGCAATTGCTAGGATTGCTTCCCTTCCCCCCCCTTCCCTTTTGGGATATGCATCACCTTTATTTAGCTTGTACAGCTTTCCCTCACTGCTCCTGGGAACTCATATATCTCCCCTGTTCCCTACTATTTCTGAATAAATGTCCCTTGAGGCCCAGCAAGCATATTTGTTCATTCATTCTCTTAACGCACTGAGGCACACAAGCACGTACTTGGACACGTGCTTAAGAAAAACCTCTTACCTGATTTGTATCAAAACTGGTGCAATTCAGAAGAAAAAAAAAGAAAAAAAGACCTTGTACGGCAACAGATTTCTAGTTAACTATTTCAAAATCAAGCCATTTCCAGTAGCGCTGCTGCACCATAGTAGCACTACTCTCTCATAAATTACTGGTTCTGCTTTGTCTTTTATTCTCCACCTGCATTCCCACAGTTCTTGCTCCAAACAGCATTCGCAAGAGCTCTTCTTTCCCCTTCTTGGCTGCCATTCTGCCTTTTTATCGCCCTCTTTCTTCTGCGGTTTTCCAAGTGACAAGGCAACAGCAAGCTAGTTCATAGCACAGTTCTCCCAAGCAACACTGCCATAAACTAAAGTTTCCCTACTGGACGGGGAACAAAATGCTACAAAGGGGAATGGTCTGTTTTCAAACCGCTTGGGGATAATTTACGAACAGAGAGGAGATCAAAAGAAACCCAACTCCAACTTCAGAGTTCAAGGAAGGGCAAAGCGACAGAACACCATGCTGCTCGGCCCCTTCTTCCCCCCCTCCTCTCCCATTTTAAGGCCCTCCTTTACTTTGCCCTCCCTTACTTCTTCCTTCCCATTAACCTACTCCAGCCTTTTTACCTTAGTATTTACAGCCACCCTGACTAGGGGTCTTTGCTAGCCACCCACTGAGTTTGCAGGCTGGGCTCTGTCTCTTAATAGCACTTGCTAGACTTTATTAGATTGCTTGGTGAGTTTTGCATTCCACACAGTGGAGTGCCAACGGAAAAAGCAAAATATAAGGAGCAAACCAAGCAGGGGAAGATCACTATAACACGCACTATGTCTCTTTCTAACCTTGCACCAGCTTCCACTCTGATCTGCAGCTGAAGGGCCGGTCCTCAAGGACGACTTCTGCCAGACGCCCAAGTACTAAGGTAAGAGCCTTATGTACAGCACTGCCCA